CCCGTCGGACGACGATGGGGACGACGCTGTGTCGCCGCAAGGTCTCACGAAGGATAGCAGGGGCGACGACGAGGCCCGCCAGACGTGACGGCGGGGGAATGCCACAGCGACCAAAAGGCATCGAGATGACCCGAGGGCAACCGTCCGGGTCAAAGAGGTCCTGTGCCTCTGTGACAAGACGGGCGCGCAGGGCGGGGTCACGGAGGACCTCGTAGGTCGCCCAGGTGAGCATCGCGGCAGAGGTCTCGTGGCCCGCGAGGAGAATCGTCTTGACGTCGTCGCGGAGCCGTCGGACGTGGGCCTCGGTCGGAGGGCCCAGCTGGGCGAGGCAAAGGTCAAGGAGGTCCGGAGGGCCCTCCGCGGTGCCGGCCTCGCGGCGCCGCCACCGCTCGCGGATGAGGTCGCATAGGCAGTTGTTCAATGCGCGAAGGCAGCGCCGCCGCTCGCGGAAGCCGCGAAGGAAGGGAAGGTAGGCCCGCCAGGGCGCCCACACACGCTTGTTGCACTCATCCATGATGGGGAGGTAGAGTGTGGGGAAAATCCGGTCCGTCTCCTCGTGGGTAAGGGAAAGACAACTCTCACCGATTACGCGAAGCGTCATGTGGCGGAACTCCTCGCTGAGGTCGACATACGGGCGCGATGGGTCGAGGCTCTCCAGTTTGTCCATGACATTCATCATCGCGCGTATCGTCATCTCGGGGATTTCCTCCAAAATGTCAACCCGCATCACGCGCGAGAGCAACAAACGCCCCGTCTTCCACTGCTCCCCTTCCGCGGTAACAAGCCCGGTGCCGAGGAGGCACATAAAGTGCTTGTACGCCTCATCCAACGCCTTCTCGTAGTTTCGCTGATTGGTTAATAAAACCCGCTTGATTAAGGAAGGATGATTAAGATACACGATACGTGTGCCGGCGATGTTTAAGTAAACAAGACGGCATGGCTTGGTCGAGCGCTCCCCATCCTCTGAGGAATTAACCTGGGGGACGTTTTTGTTCGGATAGAGGCTCCACTGCGCCATCTTCGTCCAGGGAGCTGGACCTAAGAGTAGTAAGGCATGTCCTAGGATGGGAAGGCTTCCCTTCATGGTGGGTAGGTCAGCGAGATAGTAATCCATACGGAAGCGTGGAATAAATACGTAGAAAAGAAGATATGCGAAGATTACGACGACAATCGCACTTAAAGCAGTAGTGTCCATAAGGTATTCCGTCAGGGTAGACAACGCAACACCATTTAAAGAATTCATTTTCCGCGAATTGATTGTAGTTACAAATTGGAAAACTCTATTTTCTTTTTTAAATTTTTAAACTGAAGCTGAACCAGAAATTTAAAAAAAAAACTTTAAATTGTGGTAAAAAAGAAAACAAAATGGGAAAAAAAAACTTCAAAAACGTAGAAAATAATCCAACATTCGAAGAAGAAATAATGTTGGCAATGAATATCGGAGTTCAGAAAAATGGCATAAATGCAATCTGCATCGAAGATTAATTTGAAGGGGAAGGAAAGGGAAGGGAGAGGGAGAGGGATGCTGTCATCGGATGCCATTCGATTACTTATGGAACTATACATCTGTTTCTTAGAAGCGATGACAGCACTTTATCCACACATAGCAAAAGTAATTGGAAACCATGATAACAATAATAATAAACAAATATATATATATGTATATATATATATATATATATATCACCACTACTCAGCAATGCTTTCCTCCACTATGGTGGATGCTTCGAAACTTTGTATTTGCTCAAGAGAGCTCTAATTGAAGGAGAAACATTTTGGTGTAGCAACTCAGATTTACCCTTCCCTAAAGTGTTCTCAGTATCGAATTTATTGTTCCGTGCAAAGCCCTTTCGGTTAGCAGTCTCCCCATGGGGGTTTGCATCTTCATTATTAGGTGTAATGGATGGCGCCTTATGCCTAGCATTCTTTAAAAGCAGTTTGGCAGGGTCTTGTTTCGGTGAAGGCTCAACATGCTTTTCCCCCCAACTAAGAGAGCTATCGTTTTTCTTCAGTCCAAGGTTACAAATCTCGGAAGCGAATTCCTCCAACAGATGGTCTAGGTTGATGCCATCCTTCTTAGCTTCGCTTGGCGATTCACCCAGGGGCTTAGATGTCATACCTGAGGTTTCGTTTTGATGCGTGGTTCCGGAAGGAAGATTGGCATCAGACGCGGGCGGTTGGTTAACGTTGTTATCGCGCGCGAAAAGTGATGAGGTGCTGGAGACTTTCCCGTTCGTCTCCGTCGGAGCTTGCTGCCGGATGTTTGCAAGATGCATCCCTTTGATTCCCTTCGCCGCGGTGGTCTCCTTTTGGTACGAGATATTCCCCTTCGAGACGGCTTCGTTCACCACGCTCTTGGTACCCGCCATGTGAAGCGAGGAGGTTTGAAGCGGTGGCGGGATCGGCCTCGCGGATGGCGCGGGATCGGCATTCTTCGCGCCGACGCCGCTGACTTTTCGCTCCCGATAGGCGACCGGGGGGCCATGTTTGCCAGGGGGGCGGTAGGCCTTTGCTAACGGGAGGGCGCCCCCTTCGACAAGGGTAGGGTCCTTGACCCCCTCCGAGGCGGGCTTCGCGTCCTTCGGGGTGTTGCTCACCGGGCTCGACGTCTTCTGCATCGCGGAGGGTGCGCTCTTCGGGCTGAGGTGCATGCGCCGCGACGCGCTCGCGATCTGCTCGGCCACTCTCACGGAGGGACCGCTCTCCCCGTCGATTCCGACGCTAAGATAAGAATGCTGCAAGCATTGCTCGGCGGTGAAACGATTCTTTGGATCATAAGTTAGCATGCAAGAAATTAGATCAATAATTTGTGCGGGAGAGTGCTTGGGCAGTGCTTTCACCAGACCACGCCCCTGCATGCATGGAAACATGTATCGAATTTTCTTCGCTAAAACAATTCCGTCTGGCCACGTTTTCTCGGATGGAGACCCTAGTACGTCCATGATCTTAAAAAGCTGATCGACCTCGTTCGATCCGGGAAACAGCGGCCGGGTTGTGATGAGCTCCGCCATGATGCATCCCGCAGCCCAGATATCTACAGGGGGGCCGTAGTTTCGATCCTGCAGGAGCAGCTCCGGCGCCCGATACCACCGCGTCGAGACGTAATCGGTAAAAGGCGGCCGCGAGCGAACCTCCTTTGCGAGACCGAAGTCCGCTAACTTCACCACCTCCTCCGCATCGATACATCGGATTAGCAGATTCTCCGGTTTCAAATCTCGGTGAAAGTAGCCCTTCTTGTGAATGTACGCGATCCCCTGGAGGATCTGCCTCATATAGTTTTTTATCTTGCAATAGGGTATGGCCGGACCGGAGGTCGTTTCCTCTTGTCGCTGCTGATGCTTGGCCTTCTTGATCACATCGAGCAAATCGTTATCCATAAATTCAAAAACAAAGAACAATTCATTGTTTTCTCGAATAACTTCACGCAACTTTACAACATTTGGATGGCTATGAATTTTCCGAACTACTTCAACTTCAGGCAACCTAACACATTGATCCCAAGAATAAAACTTCTGCTTCATCTTCTTTATGGCCACTAACTGACCGGTTTTTTTGTTAACAGCTTTGGCTACACTGCCAAAAGTACCATCGCCAATTCGACTGATCAATTCGTACTTTTCCATTTTCTCTTTTCGCTTTCCCACCTTTTGATGGTAGGAAGAGCTTTGGCTGGGTAAACGTGTGTGTGTGTGCGCTCACGTGTATGTAGTTATAAGGATAGCTATAACGACTCTAAATGTTCTTGGACCTACTTTACATACTTTTATCTAATACTATATATATATATATATATTTGGGAAACTAGGAAGATAAAACAATTATTCCCTGTCTCACTCCAAAAAACAAAGGAATATTCAAGAGGGGCATGTGTTTTTGTACGCTTACAATGGTGAAAAATCGAAGAGGTACATACATGTTTTCAGTGTGACTGATTTTATACCAAGATGTAAAACTGAAATGTATCCAAATAAATCATAGATCAAATAGATATCCGTAATTGTGCTTCTGCATTTGTGTGATTGATTGGATGATCATGGGCCGACGGATCAGACGGGTAAGGGCATTACGATACCGTTACTTTCAGCTGTGGTGATCTGAAGCACGACAACTAAAAGCAAAAACTGAGGTAAGACGGGGCATGTTAAACAGTGTAGACCATTCATCAAATAAACCGACATTGTCAAAGACCTGCCATTACATTTGTTCGCTTAGAACCTTTTAAGCCTCGAAAAGATTGCATATATATTTTTGCAATGAAAGTGATGGATCGATTCGAGTTTCGAGCACTACATTAACTATAGCAAGCATACGAAGCCTATTAATAATATGTATACTCTCGCATGAAAAGTAGCAGACCAAATAATTACTAGGAATGCATCAGCAATAAGAATTATTTAAAATGGATCTTCCGTCTAAAAAAAAACAGATGTCAAACTAGACCTCATATGTATATATAAGAATAGTTTGGAGAAAACAGTAGAAAAGTACTACATTATAGAAGTGAATGCAGAGAAAGCTGAGGAAGTGCAAAAAAACGGACCCAAATATTATCATGGGTGTGAATAAAAATAAACAACCAAAACCGATAGGTAACGAGGTATAAGTAAGTAGTGGGCTTCCGTCTCCATTTTTGTAAAAACCTTTTATTAAGCATTGCTAAGAGAACAAAAACAAAAGTAATACTTGGATAAAGAAACCAAGTGTGCAAACCTTAACTCATTACTCCTTTAGTTGTCTTTTTGTAGTGCTGCTTATCTTCACTATTCAATTATTCAATACAATGAGCCCTCTAACAAACGGAGCCCTTATTCACACATCATACTTATCACTTATTTACTCAAAATAAAACATTAATAAATTCATTCCCAAAAAAAAGAGTCATGCGAAACATATCTAAATAGATTTTCCACCAACCTATTCGAAAGAACCGCTGGAGATAGAATTCGTATCTGATCAAAAAACAAAAAAACAGACTTTCTCCATTTGGTTGGACAGAATAGTGAAGAAAAAGGTCTCAATACGTACCTGGTGTGGTGCCTGGGGTTGGCTGACTCGAAACATTATGAAGATCCCCCGTCCCGTGGGCGAACGCACAACGATCCCCCCACGCGCATGTTCCGTTTTTTTCCCAATAAATGCACATCTTCGTCTTCATTTTGGTCTTATCGATACCCGTTCGTCCTCCACGATATCCAGGGCGAGTGGCGCGCCCGCCGTAGTACGACTCGAAGGCGGTGGAAGGCATTGTCCAGTGCGTTGTTTTCGTATTATGGTCGATGTAGTACGGCTTCCCGTCCGGCGTGTACGCAAGCTGCCACCCAGGCGGGAGCATGGGCTGCTGTGCTGCGAAGTAGCCTTGCTGCATTATTCTGGGTTATGGATGATAATGAACTATAGCACGTTCTAGAAAGGAAAACTTTGACTTAGAAAATTATGAAGCAGATATGCATATATATATATATATACATATATATACCGAAGGAAGAGGCAGAGGAGACAATAGGGTTTGGAATACATCAAGAAAATATTAAGAAAAGTAACTATAGTAATGTTAAATTATAAATGAACATTTAGTAACATTTCGCCTGGAATGTCCTACAGGCCCAACGCAGTGACCACAACTGAATAAGGCGCGTAACACCTCACAAAAGAGATTCAGAAATACTTAATCAAGCTGTATAATATTGCTATGCTAGGATCCAGAATCCCATATTCGGGAAAGGAAACCCGAGCTCCAGCAACCCTTTTTCGTTTCGAGAGTCAGGCCTCTCGACACAGGCTACGACAACCCAATCAGGGGTGGGGTACGAGCATATGGCAATTAACGACAGTGCTGAAAGAGGTGTCGGCCTCTGACTAGTATCACAACATATATACACAATTTCAATCAATAGCTCAATTGACTATATATATATAATATCACTAAAATACATTTTAACAAAATATTCAAAAAGGCATCAGTTTAGTAAAAGGAGTACAACCCCTTTGTAGGTCGTTGAGATTGCATGGTCATCACATAGTTGGCTATTGGATCGCCGATTAAAGGGTAGGGCGCGGTCTTCAGTTTATGTCGGTACGCATGCCCGAGGGCGTATGGCCTCACCATGCCCATGATTTCATTAAACTTGCGCTTCGCAATGCGAACCCGTCGGGGGATGATTTCATCGCTCTTATCCTTTATGGTGTCGTCCTCAGCCCACTTCCCGAGAAAGCGACGCTCTACTACGGGCCCTGTTGATATTTTTTGCTGCGTCGATTTTGTCCGTTCATTATCTCTCGCCATAAGTCGCTGCACGGGATCGATAAAGTACATGGCATCCCCCGTGGTGACACCGGTGGCAAGAAACGCAGCGAGATCCTCGATCTTGCGGTAGCGATTATCCGTGTTAGGTGAGCAGTAGAGAGGAAGCCGTGCGTGCGCACGATGTGGGAATGCTGCAGGGGATACGGTCGAAGAAGAATCTACCAAAACAGTCCGACGAGAGCTCCCCGAGATTTCACTCCTTGTATGAGATCGTCTTGGAGGAATGCATTGTATTTGAACGAGAGGCTTTTTCTCGGATTGCGTCCGAGCATTTTGACATAAGCATCTCTCTCTGATCTGATCCCAGACTTGATCGGAGAAAGCACTCCGGCACGAGATTTCCTCGCCGTTAGATGCCGGTGTGTAGAACTGCCTTCTCAAAACCGGTAAAGTATCAGGCGAATTGAGTTGTGTACTACCCTCAACAAGACTCGGTGGTTCTGAATTTCCAATATCTGGCAAACTCATATGATACTCTTGGAGTTTGCCTCGTTTCCTCCTTTATGAGTTTTCGAAGGACTCCAAATCCAAGATGGGCACAGCTGCGATTTTTATAAAAGATGGGTAAATAAAAATAAAAAGGTGTACACAGGGGGAAAAAAATACAAGAAGATATTTTGAGAATCATTTTCAAATTAATGGGGATTGATTTGGGAAAAAAAATGGGTTAGACATAATTATAAAATCTTAATATAATCCTGCACGCGAGAAAAAAATGATAATAATAATAATAAAGTTAACATTTATTGAAGAAAATCGGAATCTTAAAATTGCAGAACTTAAAGGTAACAATAAAAAAAAGCATATCAAAAGAAATAAACAAATATGTTTCTCTCTTTTAAATAAATTTCACACTCAAATTGCATCACACTAAAAATTTAACACCTGTTCGACTGAATGTATCATTCCCCTTTCTAATTGAAGCGACTAACTATATAATATATATAAACATTACCGCATCGAAGCAAACAAAATAATGTTCTACAATACCCGTTTGCTGTTGTTGTTGTTTTTATGCATTTCATGGCTTTCCTGACCCTTCAACAAACGAAGCATCACTGAACAAGCAACAATATGGTAGCCATTGCACTCTGAAAATTTGATAGGAAAAAAATTACAACACGCATTTGGTTAGGCCTTATTACTATTAGTTCTGTAAGAGCAATCTCTTTAGGTTTACCTCCAAATCCTTCGTGTTGGATTGTAGAAGAAGAGCTAAAACAGGCGGCAAGTTGAACTCTAAATAGGGCTCTGGCGGCCGATATCTCGACGGGGGCTTTGTGTTGTTCAATGGAACCGCAAAAACCGAGGAAGGTGAGAGCGCATTGAAGTGACTCTTACCCGTGGTGCCCTTGTACTGGAATGGCCTATTAGGGGATTGCTGGCTGTTAAGGCCGAGGCCCATGAGCGAGCTCCCGGAGGTCGGCGAGACCTGTGTGCCGGAATTGGTGCCTATACCAGACTGCGAAGGAACCGTCTTCTGCGCGTTATGTACGTTCGGATTGAGAATAAAACCTACCCCGTTCACATCTAGATGACGCTCGTCAGGAAGTTCGTGAGAGTACGGGCACGTCGCCCCGCGAAGGCAACCGCCGTTCACAAAGTACTTGCATACCTCCTGCGAGTAATCGTGTGCCGGTGTGGAGAGGGGTATAGCCCCACTTCCCGCAGCAGGCCCTCCCCCACCTTGGATCAAGGCTGAGGGAAGAAAGGAATAGCTAGTGGAGCCACTCATCGAGCGCGCACCATTCCCAATACTAGATGGTATGTTCCAAAGCTCTTTTGAGGAAAGCATTAAACCCTATAAAAAATAACCAAGCAGAAATAACTTGACTTTTTACCTAAATTATTTTTTGTTACACGTTTTTAAAAACTGCAGCGTTTTTTTATAAAAAAACGAAATGAAAAATGAAGAAGGTTACTTCGCTTCCTTTACTAAGTAACTATACGCACATTCCTCATACGTCACAAATAATTTCGGGGTTTGCATATAAATGAATCAGAATATCTGATGAAGAACGCTATCTGAAATGAATCTAAATTTGTGAAATCCTCTATTTCGCATATTGCAACTTAGTGCACACAATGATAAGAGAAAATGTATACACGCCCCTCAACTTTACGGCTTAGCATATTTCTAACAAACCCACATTCATGCAGAAGTGAATGGATGGAGTTAAACATACTGGAAAGATGCAAACTAACGGCTTGGGGCTATAGGAGTTACCTTCGAGTAAGAGGTGCCTTTCGCGTGCTTTAGTACCCAAACAGTTCTCCCTAATCAGAAAATAAATTCTTGTACACGAAAACTCATGCACTGAGCAAAAGATCAGTGTATGTGTCAATGTCGAAAAAAAAGTATATTTAATCACGCGAGTTAGGGAGATACCAAAAGTCGGTTGGAATTTTGCTATTGAAAAGAGTGAAGCAATGCCGTTTCTCGCCATGGTTCCTCTGTGTCGCGTGTCTTTCTATCTCTTTTAGTTTTATCGGTTCATGTTTAGTGTGCTTGAAGGATTCAACGAATCAATAAAATTCACCTCTCAGCTTTGCCTTCACAGTACCCCTGATCAGGGTTTCAGAATGGTCGCCATGTTGTGATCCCAGACCACAACATTGAGGGGTTTGCCCAAGGGAAGGCAACTAAAGGAGGGACGGTTGGTTACGTAGCCCCGATCCCCCCACGTCTGCGCACCGAACGCGCTGCCCTCCCGCTTCAACGCGCGGTGAACGAGCAAGTCCATGGTCATAGCGTCAATAAACAACACGGCGCCGCTCTCTAAGCCCATACAAAGCGTCCACGAGTGCACGTGAAATAGCGCGAGAGAGCTCACGGGAATGTCCTCAGTGTAGAAGGTCTTCTGTGTTTGCTTGATGATTAGCGTTCGAGCTCGCTTTTCAAAATCGAAGGTGTCCTCTCCCATCTTCCCTGAAGCCTCCTGCCTCGCCTCGGTCTCCACCAGGTTCACATTGAACGTCATCACGACGTTATTCTCGAGGGCCACAGCCAAGAAAAACATACGCGCCTCTGCGGCAACAGGCCGACACTCCGTAACAACGGAAGAGGCTGTGCAAGGGGTCGCTGTGACCAACAGCAAGGAATGGGTGCGCGCACTCGGTAAAAGGCGTGTTTCGCTGAGGATGGTGAGATCTTTCACACGCAGAAGTTGTAGCCAGCCGCTCGACCACACACACAAGAACGACTCCTCATCCCACCAGCCCCAAAAGCGGATTAAATCGGTGTGTGTGGTGAATCCCCGAGGTGGTTGCACTTGGCGCCAAGAGAACTCCACCAGATATCCGGAAGCAAGGGAAGACACCTCCCGCTTCAGGACCGTAACAGAGCTTACGACAGCCTTCCTAGCCTCCTCCCCTACACACTCTTTGTTCACTAGATAAGTTTGGAAGACACTAATACGATCTGCGGACGGACTGAAGCGAACCTGTCGGATTAACACGTTTTGCTGGATATCACGAGGGAGTTCCAACATCTTCGACGGGAGGCCTCTTGGCGGCCTTCGCAACTCCGATGTAGAGGTAGAATTATCAATATGACATAGCTGTACCCAACCATCCAAAATCACACACAAAATGCACCTTTGATTTCTAATAGTGGCAGTAGATGTGGATGTGGAGACAGAGAGCAAGGGATGGATCGATGAACCAGCATCCAGAGGCGCACAGTCCACGGCGACAAGCTGCATCGGGCGCTGTTGCTCTACCTTAGGACGCTCCCCCTTGAGATCGCGGGTGTGATGCCCCTTCAGCTCATGCCCACTGTCCTTCTCGGGCTCCCTGAATAGATAAGTCTTCAAGAGATTAGCGGTGTTTAAGAGGCAAACACACCCGTTGCTGAGTCCGAAAAAAATGAACGATTGCAAGCCCGGAAATGAAGCCCAGCAGCAGTCGGTTATGAAAATCTGCTCAGATGACGAAAAGGACGACACACGACGCTTTACCTCTCTCTTTACATAATGCGAAATAGAGTTCTTGGTCATAGTTTTACGCTCCTGGTGAATGTCGGATACGAAATCCCCTCTCCATTCTTCTTCTGCAGCTAACATGAGAAATTCTTAAGAAAGGAGAAAGCTAAAAATGAAACACAATTTAAAAAGTTGAAAGAGGTTCATTTTAATTTCGAGAAACAAAGAACACTTCCTTGTCATTACACGATCAAAGTAAAGGACAAAATGAAATGGAAAGGTGAAGGTGATCAGATTGATATCTCACTTGAAAAAAAAGGAGCCATCACAAGGACATACTTTTAATGTTATGTCGAGCATACGCATAAAAGGTCAAAAGAGTGGCGAAGTCCGTGTTATGATGCTGAACTCTTCTCAATCTTGGCGTGGGATGTCTGAAAGTTGAACCCGAAATGTGAGTTTAGCCATCATCTTCCTCTGTAGTATCTGGTATTGGTGTGAATCCTGAAGGAGGGTTCTTTGAGCCGCTAGAGTTTAGAACCTTAAATCTATTACCAGTAAGCTTCCTATCATTTCGCTGAGCCTTGTTGATGTCTTTGTGCATACGGTATGTTGATGGCAAAGAGGTCCCATGCACTGTCAAATCATATAGCAGCTTACCATACATTGCGTTGTCTTCGTTAGGAATGTCACGTCGAGCAAAGAGCTCATAATGAGTGTTATTGGGAAGTCTCTTCTTCATAATAAAATCTGGCAAATTTTGCCCGTATCCCGGCCGCATCTCACGCATGGGGTATCCCGTAAAGGTGTTGAACTCTGGCGACATGTGACGCTCATCTTCCAGCTGCCAAGATCCGGGTGCGCTTTCTTCGATATATTCGTTAAAAATTCGTGCTCGTGCGAGACGTAAATCCCACCGTTGCGCGCAAGGAACTGGCAGGCTGCATGGTGAAGTGTAGCGTACCCTATGCAGGCCTCTACTAAGTAGATGTTTTCTAAACATTATATTTTACCTTCAAAAGGAAGGAATAGAAATATGAAATGGGATCCATTAAGAAGTAAAAGAGATCTGTCACCTAGCTTAATGAAATATGGCATATAAAAATACACAAGACTCGCTTTCACTCCCTATCAACCTATATTCAGCTTCTCTAAAGCACAAGGGCAATGTTATTTAAAATTTTCAATACTAAATTTCCTTTGCTTCCGACTTCAATGAATTGATATACGATCAATTCGCTCTTAAAGTGATCCTTTCTAGTGTCTTGCATTTTTTTTACCCTTTACTTGCTTGCGCCCACTCCAGGTCCATCCCCTTCTCACGCAGATATGCGCGCACTGAAAAAAAAGCTAAAAAGAGGTTATTAAATAAATATGCATATCGATTCAATCAGAAAGAGTTCACTGCTCAGGCATCTGTGGAATCAAATCCGGGTGTACGTGCTCAAATTTACGATTTGACTTATCGCATATCCATGCCACCTCTATTTCGTATACCCTATCCTTTTGTGCATCGTGCACGCTGTGGAGTATTCTCGTGAGCTTCTCAACTGCCTCCTCACAAGTTAGGGCCGAATAATCCAGCTTTTCTAGCTCTGTTTTGGCGATAGTTTTAGCTTTTCCAAGTGCAATCCCATAGTATCCAGCTACAGTGCCGCTTGGATCGCTCACGTACAACTGCGGCCCGTCATCCGTGTACGAAGCGATAATCGCGGAACATCCAAACGGACGATAGTAGAAATGTGTCGTGTAGGCATGCATAAAATTGCCAATGCGGTTGGCGAATACAGATCCCAAAATCGGGACCGCAAACACATCACGGCTGTTCTCGGCTTCCTCACGGGCGCGGGAAACGATCGCCCTGCCATCTGGAAGCATTCCGCAGATGCATACACCACAATGGCGATCAATGGCGTGGATACGGTTATTCGATCCATTCTCAAGCATGCGACTTGAGTGAATTTTTTCTACTGCAAGCACGACCCCATCAATACAGCACGCTGCTACAGCCGTGCTGCTGTTATCCACCGCTTTGCAGGCATATTCCACCTGAAAGACACGACCTTCGGCTGAAAATATGTCAGTAGACTGATCATGACCGCTACCAGACCCAGACATCTTTCCGTTTAGAGACTATTCTCTCGTTGTTTAATTTATTTTATTTTATTTTTCGGTAAATAGGTAATTTTTTTATCCTTCATGAATAAGGAAAAAAGTGGTGAGACGAAAAATATCTTCCATAGGCTTCAAACAACAAATTAAAAGTAATACACAAACTTATCCGATACATGCCACACGTAGATACATAGGCACGTCAGTATGTGAATATTTGCATAAAAACGTCAAATCTAAAATAGATAGCTCAATAACTAAGAAATCGCTCCGAGATCCGTTTGAATTGCCCTGTGACTTACTGTTAATAACGCGCATATTTAAGAGCCCATCCATCAAGAAGCTCATCGCTTGCGAAAACTCAAAAAGACAGCCAGCAGACACGAAACTGTTATAGCTGTTAAGGCAAATGAAATTGGTGTGCCGAATCGCAGGCGCACATGGAATATTGATTCCTTCTCAATCTCTCTGCTATCTTTTTTCTGCCTTTTGAACTCTCTACGTCGATCTAAGTTCAGCCTTGGACGAGAATCATTTGCCTCATCCGGATTACGCCACGAGGCACCTGCTTGTGGCTGTGGAGGGAGCTTCTCCTCCCAGTTACCACCTGTTGTAAAAAGTTCCGCTATTTTTTCCGATAGGCTTTCTTTGGTGTCATCCACACCACTGGTGTTCAGGGCGTGGGAGTAAAAACACAGCTCCCCGTTGGGGCAGCAACCAAACAAATGAGCAACGCAAAAGTGCACACGATTTTGGTGCGCACGGATAATTTGTTTCAACCGCTGCTTCAGGCGACACAAGTCAGCCGGCTTGAGCAAAGTTTCATCAATAGCGCCGTTATTAGCCTCGAAGTTGCTCTGATTGAACTGACACGCAACGTCAATTTCATCCAAAACGTCATCTGAGATGAGCGTATCATCGACAATGACAGTCCTCAAATATGGATTGACGTGAGCCAATGCAGCTATCGAGCTACCCGCCTCGTCCTGTAGCGGGGTATTCGAAAGATTGATATAATTGACCCGAGAACGCACAAGCGCCTCACACATAGCGGAGATGGCCTCGTCACTAACGTTAATTCCATTCAGTGTTAACGCCTCAATCGATAGATTATACTGTAATGCCATAGAAAGAGAAAGAATTTCGGCATCTCCAAAGTGGCTTGAGAAGTCAGCAAACACCAACAACGACCGAATGGAGTTATTTAGAACTTCCTCAGCTAGTGTGTGAAATTCATCTGTCTCCACGCTAGTATAGTTGCTATTGCGATTAGTAAAAATGTTGAGGATTTGTTCCCATTCATTCAAGGAGAGGTCCTCACAAGCCTTTGAGTCGATTTTTCGCAAGATATGTTTTATGTCTGATGCGTTGGAGGTATCGGCGACAGCTTCTGAGAGACTCCTCACTGCACCCAAAACTCTCACCTGTTTGCTACTGTCCATGTTATAGTCTATTAATTTTTTTATCATTTTCGAATTATCGAACAAAAATGAAGATTCGCACAAGGGGAGAGCAACAGTGAAAAAATTAAAGCATGATTTTAGATCACGATAATCAACCAAATGAACACACAATCTGGAGCCTCAACTTTATTCAGTGAAACTATTCAAACCGTGTAAAGATAGCTAACCAATGATTTAAAGACAATTTTAGGACTTATACCTAAGTTCCCGCCCAAGCGCAGACCGTCCTTAAAAGCGAAAAAAAACTACTAAATTTGTGTGTCATATTTGTTTCCATCAACTTCAACAACGAATCGAAGCCTCTAGGATCAGACACTATAAACCCTTTCCTGTAGAACAATACGGCTAGAGAATTCTTAATTACATCATCAATTTCAAGTGAGGGAAAAAATTTCATGAATCACACGCATTTATGAATGTGTGTATTAACTCACATAAACTATTTCCTTTCAAAAAATTGAGTTACAAATGTACCAATAAAATGAAACTAGAATATTTTCCACTCTTGCTTATTGTTCCTCTAAAATTTTCACCGCCACAAAGCAACAGCTTCGAATACATTCGTCAAAATTCGATATCACACTTAACCTTTGATGAATACTACAACGGAAGACTTAAAAAATTGTTATTATTATTAAGCATGCGCAAGGAGTCTACTAAGTCCGGGAAAAAAGCTTGTAAACTTTTTAATACCCCACGATAAGTTACTGAAACATAATTAAAGAATTCAATCATGCAGTCAATACATATTTTATTATGTATATATATATATATATATATATATATATATATAGTATATATAGATGTGA